AATCCAACCTGCAACCTTTCAGTGCACAGGATGACGCCCAATCAACTGAGCCACACCGGTCAGGGCAGGTGTTTATTTTTTTATTATTGAATTGTAGAGTTCTTTATATAGTCTGGATACAAGTCACTTATCAGATATATGATTTGCAAATATTTTCTCCCATTCCACATCTTTTCACTTTCTTAATGATATCTTTTTCAACACAAAGGTTTACATATTTATATAGTCTAATTTATTTTTCTTTTGTTATCTGTGCTTTTGCTGTTGTATCTAAGAAGGCTTTGCCTAACACAAGATCATGACGACTTACTCATGTTTTCTTTTAAAAGTTTTATAGTTTAGCTCTTACATTTAGGTCTATGTTCCATTTTGAGTTAATTTACCATATAGTGTAAGATAGGAGTCCAGCTAGATTCTTTTGAATTTTTTTTAAAAAATTGTGAATATGTATTATACACCCATGACTGTAATATTCTTGAAGGCAAGGACCAAATTCTACTTCTTTGTATTTTCCATAAAACCAATCAGTAAACTTTTTTTTTTCAGAATTAGATTTTGAGAGTGATATGGACATTTTAATTTCAATTTTAAAGGTAATTATATAGATATGGTACAAACTTCAAATAAGACAAAATGATATATAGTGAAAAGCTGTCTACCTTCCATACCTCACCTCTTGTCCTCCAATCCCCATCCTCGGAATCAACAACCATAACCACCATTACTGTGGTTTTCTATACCTGTACTAGCACACACTCAGCATAGAATCCAAAGTCTTTATCATGGCCTGCAAGGTCCCCCACGATCTGGCCTCTCAGGTCACCTTGTCGACTTCATCTCCGATCATATTCTTTCTTACTTATTTGACTCAAGCCATAATACCCTCCTTGCTCTTCCTGGGAAAGACCAAGCATTTTCCCACGCTGGGCGCCTTGGAACTTGTTCTGTCTGCCAAGCGTGCTCTTTTTGGAGATATCGACATGGGTCACTCCTTGACATGGGTAAGATTCTCATTTCACACACTCTTCTGATCAAACTCAGTGAGGTCTCCCCTGATCATCTTATTTAGCACAGCACCTCGCCCTCTTGCTCTTTATTCTGACCCTGCTTGTCATTTACAATACCTGACATGAGATGATATTATTATTTATTGTCTGTCTCCCTTTACTGGAACTTTGCTTTATTTTCTATTGTATCTTCAGCATCTAGATCTGAGCTTGAATTATGGTAAATGCTCAGCAAATATATTTTCAATGAATGACTGAATTTCAATGTGGTGCCTGTAAAGAAGTATGAAAATTCTGAGGGATAGAGACAGTGTAAAGAGAAAGATGAAATGTAGGGAGGGAGAGGAAGCTTTGAGAGAACAATGGAAATTGCTGGGGCTTCAGGCTGAGTGTTTAGGGGACAAGGAGCTGATGATCCCTGGGGGTGGAGAGAAGCTGAGCAGCACTGAGGGGTTAAGGCTGAGGAGCAGGGGGAGGAGCACTGTGAGGGGCCTTGTGGAGCCTGCAATCCCCACGGGTTCTGCACTACATAAACTTGTCTATACCCTCAGCCTGCTCCCAGGAAATTCCTTCTACTTTCTGTCTTAACTGAAACCTGTCTTCCTTTTTGAATATTACTTCCCCTGTAGCCGTCCTTCTTTGGGATATTGCTTGTCATTATTCTTTACCTTGTGTGTGTTAAGACTGAGTCTTCATTCATTTGCTTTCCAATACCGCATTCAAGCCATTACCCTTCTACCTGCTGCTCCTTTAAGGTTCACGCTATATGCTCATGCTACCACCAATATCATGGACACTCTGTTTATCACAGACTTTGGTGTCAGGCCTCTTCATTCCAAATATAGCCATCATCTTAGGCAACCTTAATGTCTGAGTACATGACCAATCCTAAATCGTGAGCTCTCAATTCTTTGAAGGCCTCCACTCCAGAGATTTGCACCTGCAGTTCACTTCAGCCACTTTCTTCCATAGTCACCCCCTGCACTCTCTCATCATTCAGAACAGTTCTAACCCCAAAACCTTCAATTTAAAAATACCACGGTCTGACCACATTTTCTTACCCATTAAGCTCTCACTCAGTGTTGCTCATTACATTTTCTCTTAGTCATGTGCCCCTTCTTTCCTGACAGCCTCTTCCTCCGTTTATATTCTTCCCCATACAGGTTTCCTGGCCTGTCACTCAAACCTCTTTCTCGACAATATCATCACCTTCTTTGTGCTGATGACATTCATGCCATGACCTAGAGAGACCTTAATCCTTTTTTAAAAATCTTTACCCGAGGATATTTTTTCCATGGATATTCAGAGAGAGTAGAAGGGAGAGAGAGAAACATCGATTGGTTGCCTCCCACACTCGCCCCAACTGGGGCTGGGGATCGGGCCTGCAACCGAGGGACGTGCCCTTGGCTGGAATCGAACCCGAGCCCTTCAGCCCACAGGCTGATGCTCTAGCCACTGAGCCAAACCAGCTAGAGCAACTTTTTGCTCTTAACTGTATGAGAATATTCAAGAAAACATTGGTTATAAGAATAAGAAAAAAGGAAATTGTCTGTTAACTCTATCATACGCTAGAACAGCTGTTAAAAGGAAATGAACTGGATCTATATAGAGCAACATATATAGAACTTAAAAAAGAAATTGAGTAATAAAAAGGAAGCAGCAAAATAAAACATAAGTATGTTGTCAATTAAGTTAAGAAAAACCCAAAACCCTGTAACAACCAGAATGATTGATATATTTTCTAAGGGCGTATGGATATGTATGTGAAAGGATTAAGAAAGATCTGGAAGGAAATTCAATTTTAGAGCGGGAGGGATTGGGATTCAAGGTGGTAGTAAAAGGGACTTTAGCTTTATCTGTGATATGCTAATCTTTAGAAAAGAAAATATAATCATGTATCATTTTTCTTAAAATTAATAAATTAAAATTTAAAAAGTGAAGAATCATCCATGTTAACTAGATCCTCTGTGTTTCACTGGCCTCCTTTTCTTTCATTCTCTGCTAAACCTGAAGCTCTCTCTACTCTTCTGAACTACAATTTCATACCATCTGTATTCCTGAGTAGAAAAAAACTCTCTCCCCTGGTTCACAGAGAAAATAGCCAGAGGAAAAGAAATTAAGTGTCTTAATAGTATCTTTTCAATGCTTTTTCTTTTTTCAAAGAATATGGTTTATTGATTTTTAGAGAGAGAGGAAGGGAGAGGGGGAGAGAGACAGAAACATGCCCCTCCTGGGGAACAAGCCGGCAACCGGGGCATGTGCCCTGACCCAGAGGACAGCCAAAGGATTGAGCCGCACCGGCCAGGGGCTCAACATTCTTTCTTGTCTCCAACATAGTTCCTCATCTCTTGTGTGAATTACTTACTTGGTCTTAACTTTGCAGTCTGCTTCTTGAATCTGATTAACAAGAGTGTTTCTCTTATGCCTTTTTAATACGTGATGCCATTTCTCCTAACTTATGTGTTGGAGCGCTACACTACTGTTTTTCAATACAGGGAAGCTACCGGCTTGAGTGCAGAAAGCATCTTCAGTTCAGCTATAAAATCCTGCCTATGGGAGATTACTGAGGGAGATGTTCATATTCTGCATAAAAACTAAGTTAAATTTATATACTAAAATCACCAGTGTTCAGAGACCACCAGCCTACTAACTGGTCTTCCATTTTCACGTCAGCTTCTTAAACATGGGCGTTAGTTCTCCTCAGCTTTATATTCCCGAATTGCTTCCTGCTATACTTGAGTACACTCTCGACTTGATCCGGAAGGCCTTGCTTGCGTAATCTAGCTTCTGCCTGCCTGCCTCTCTCTTAATTACCTCTTTGAGTTAATTGAGACTAATTTCAATACCACCCTGGTCTTTGGATTTCTGTAATACACCCTTGCTCTGTCCCATCTCAGGACACTCGTCTGGGCGTCTTTCCCTCGCTCACTCCCGCAGAACTGCTGACGGAGCGGCGGGTTCGAAGCGCCTCCCGCGACGCTCGCTCCTTCTCATCCTCTGCCGGGCCCCTCGTGTCACCTCCTCAGACAGGCTTCACCTGGCTACGCTTTCTAAAGCCTAGCTTCCCTTGTCATTCTCTAGTTCAGTTGTTTCCTTCATGGCATTTACCAGTTTTTAATTATTTTCTACTTTCATTGGCTTACTGGGCTTTCGTGTGCCTCCCCCCCCAGTCAGTGGAGCTCCACGAAGTCAGTGTCCATACCTGTCTGGCGTCCCTTTGCGGACCGAGCGAGGAGGAGTGAGCCCTTCCACGTCCTGTCCTCTGCTCCCGCCACCCCCAGGGGCACCCACACCCTCTCCTCCACTGTTCTCGCGACACAGCGAAGAGGTTCTCTTCTGGTCAAGGCTGTTCTCTCCCACCTCCTCAGGGAACCCTCGCAACCTTGGTTCTTTGCTCTGCACCTTCACCTCTACAGCCATTTCCTACCAACCCTCAGAGATGTTCCCATGAAACAACCCCACAACCCCAAACCGCCAAAGCTCCCTCCTTGCCAGGCCTCAGGTCAGCGTGGGACTGTCCTCTTCTCCTGACTCGCAGGGCTCACCTGTGCCCTGTGTTCTGCTACTACCCCTTCTCAGACTCGTTTAACGGACCTCCCGAGAGCCTGTTCTTTCAACCCTAGTGAAAAGGCAGGCAAAGGAGGAGCTCTGATAAGAGGGCGCTGAGTAGTGAGGCTGGGTGAGGCGGGCGTTAAGGAGTGAGCCATGAAAGCCGAGAAGCCGGAGGTCAAGGAAGGAGGACTTCAGCCTCCGCGACGGGCTAGGTGTGGGCGAGAGCGAGGGAGAGGGAGACGGAGAGAGCGCGCAAGGGAGGAGCCGCCGCAGCCTCGCGCACCCGGGAAGCGCGCGCCGGTCGGGCGGCGGTGGCCTTTGTGCGCCTGCGCCGCCGTTGCCTGGGCACGCTCCCGGGAGACGGCGACCCGGGGAGAGGGAGGGGAAGGGAGAGGGCGTGGTGGCCGCGGGGACTCCGGAAGCCCACCCTTCACCCGGAAATGGTTGTTGAGGAACATGGCGTTGCTGGTGCGAGTCCTTGTGAGTGAAGGAATAATTTTGTAGGGTCGTCCGCCGGGCCCGGGGTTGGAGTCGGAGAGGACCGGGTGGGAGAAACGGGACGGAAGTGCAGGAGGGGAGCCTGTGCGGCAGCGGGGCTGCGCGACCGCCTCCCTGCGGGGAGACTGAGGCAGCCTCCCACCTCCCTCTACCCTTTTCGGCCGTGGCTTCCCCGTCTTTGGAGGAGAGGGAGAGTGACATCGGACCAAAATCCGATGACGTTTGGTTTTCCTCAGTCGCAGCTGCGGCCGCTTCCCCTCAGGGAGAGGCAGCACGTGGGGCGCTGGTTGGCATTTCGGGGTTCTGACTAGCCCCTGTTCTGTCGCAGAGGTACAGTGTGACGTTGGTAAGTCACGTTCAGACCTCAGGGGCCCTGTGTGAGAAGAGGTAGGACCTTAATCTGCGGTCCCTTCGGATTCTGAGTTTCCGTGGGTTGGTTTCAGATATCAGCAAGCCAGTTCTTAACTGCGCTTAAGTGGAGTACGCTTAGAGGACCGGGCCATACCTGGCTTCTTCCCCTTGCCTAGCACAGTGTCAGGCGTAGAGTAAGTGTTCAATAAATGTTGAATGAATGAAGTAAGGAGGGACTGCTAGACTTCTTAACACCTCTCGTGATACAGTCCGGATCCTTCTAGCATATTGTGACTTCGAGGAAGTAAAGGAGAAAGAAAGTGGCAGCAGAAAAAGGTTAGGAGGATACAGAGCTTAGTTGCTAACCATGGAGGGATGGGAGAGTATAATTTTAGCAAGTCTTTCAAAACCTGGGTCAAGGACCTTGTTTTTTCATAGCAGTCGCTGTATGTTCCTGCCTCTGGCTGTCTTTTGAGTTATTTTACACTCGTGTTTCTTTCTAATCTTTTTATGTGTGGCTCACAAGGACTGCAGTTTTACTTGTGTTTCTTGTCAGCCTAGCAAAGTGTAGTGCCCAAGATTGCTCCTCAGTAAATGTGTGCTTGAAGAATAGCTCTTATAACCTACAGAAAGATTCACTTGGTGGAGTAATTGTTGATGCAAGGGCAGAAATTGATTCAGGTCTGAGGACTGCTAAGGAAATGACGACCGGGATGTCCTAAGTTATTTAGTTTTTAAGACGGATATTTGGGGGAAGAGATGAAACATTTATTGGGCTGAATACCTGAAATAAACCCCTTGGTTTGTTTTGGAAGTTAGTGGATACCCCAGCTATCTTAAATACTCTTGCTCCTGAGCATGCGCACTGTTTCAGGTTCATTTCTTCTGAGGTGGTAGCATCCATAGAACGTACCTCTCTGAATGGATTCTATTAGTTGGATCTGTCCTCTAGTAGTTGGATCCTCCCCTCATTTATCCCTTTCTATTAATCTTTTCAGGGAAAAAGCAAATTTAGATAAGGAAAGTGACTTTCACTTTATACTGTGATTCTTTGAAGTATTTTTAACTTATGTTATAAATGTTAACATTCCAGTGACAAAGCAGTGGAAACTCCCTTAGGACAAGTTGAAAGTGTCAGTAAACATCAGAGTAGCAGATATTTATTGATCACCTACTCCAAAAAGGCATTTGGGTTAGGCACTGTGAGTAACTCACAGATACAGGAAAGTGCACGAGTTTAGGAGGCTGAAGGGCCTAGGCTTAAAGCTTGGCTCTGTTACTTACTGTGGGTGTGACCTTGAGCAAGTCACCTAACTTCTCTGAGCCTCAGATTTTCGTAACAGTAAATTTGATAGGGTTGATCAGAGAATCAGCTGGTAGTAGTGATGTTTAAATGCATTTCTAAATTAAATTATTTTGAAAGTATAAATTTTGTTTTTAATAGTCAACATAGTAAACATTCACATACCCACTGTTAGATTTTTGTTTTAATAGATCACTGAAGCAGTTGTGGATGGATCAGAGAGAGCTAAGATTAGAGACCCCAAAGCCAGTCAGCCGCTACTTAAGTAATCCTAGAAGAAGTGATAAGGGCCTGTAGTAAGTGGGGAGGAGCAGTGTGGTTAAAGAGGAAGGGATGGCTTCAAGAGGAAACAGTATATAGGGCTTGGTGAGAGGTTAGATGTTTAGGGTGAGGGAGAAGGGGGAGTCTTAACAGTGAGTCCCAGGTCAGCATTTGATGACTGAGTTAATAGCAGTGTCCACTGAGAAGATCCAGCTGGATATATATATGTATGTGTATATACACACACACACATATGTATATATGTGTATATACACATATATATTTAAACTTTTGGCAGCTGGAGAGTTGGTGTTCAGGAGAGAGAGAGAAGGGGAGAGAGCGCTGAGATAAAGGTTGTAGTTGAAGCAAGGTGTTGAGATTTCCTGGGCAATAATATTGACAGCTAACATTTATAGGGCACTTGCTATGTGCTAAGCACTCTTAAATACTTTATATATGTGAACTTAATCCTTACAACAGTCCTTTGAAGAGGTAAGCACTATTATTTTTCCCATTTTACTGATAAGAAAATTGAACCACAGAGAAGTAGTCTTCCTGAAACATTCTCATTAGTCTTCCTTTACTTTTTCTTCTGTCAGGCTTAGTGGCCAGTTTTATTTCCTCTCTAATGATGGGTTTGGGAAGGAGGAGGAAACTAAAACACTATTGTTGAATAGCTCCAGCAGAAGCACTGGCCTTTTGAGCAGTGCAATGGGACTTGCTTATAGTTTTATGAGCTGTCCTGGGCATTGGTGATCATTTCTGCATTTCTTTGACAGTAATACAAATTGCAGAAAGCCACATTGTACTTTAAAAAAATTTTTAGTAAAATACATATAACATAAAATTTACCATTTTAGCCCTTTTGAGGATACAGTTCAGGGTTCAATACATTCACATTGTTGTGCCAAAATCACCACCATCATCCACAGAACTTTTTTCATTTTACAAAACTGAAACTCTGTATTCAGCCCAGGGCAACCACCATTCTGCTTTCTGTCTTTAAGATTTTGACTACTCTGTGTACCTCGTATAAGTGGAATCATACAGTATTTGTCCTTTTGTGACTGGCTTATTTCACTTAGCATAATGTCCTCAAGGTTTATATATGTTGTAGCATGTGTCAGAATGTCCTTCCTTTTTAAGGCTGAATACTATTCCATTGTGTATATATACCACAGTATATTTATCTGTTCATTTGTCAGTGGTCACTTGGGTTACTCTACCTTTTGACTATTGTGAAATAGTGCTACCATGAACATGGGTATACAGATATCTGTTCGAGTCCCTGTTTTTACTTCTTTTGGGTATAAACTAAGAAGTGGAATTATTGGAGTATATGGTAAGTCCATGTTTAATTTTTTGAGGAATTGCCATTCTGTTTCCACAGCAGCTGAACCATTTTACATTCCTACCAGCAAAACACAGAGTTCCAATTTCTCCATATCTTCACCAATAGTTAATTTTTTTTTCCATAGTGACCATCTTAATGGGTGTGAGGCGGTATCTCATTGTAGTTTTGATTTGCATTTCTCTAATGATTTGTGATGCTCAGCATATTTTATATGCTTATTGGCCTTTAGTATATCTTCAGGAAAATGTCTGTTTAAGTCCTTTGCCCATTTTTTAATTGAGTGTTGTTTTTTATTATTGTTGAGTTGTAGGAGTCCTTTATATATTCTGGGTATCAGCCCTTTATCAGATATATGATTTGCAAATATTTTTTCCCATTCCATGGGTTGCCTTTTCATTTTGTTGATAGTATTTTTTGATGCACAAGAGTTAATTTTGATGAATTTCAACTTAACTATTTTTCATTTTGTCTGTGCTTTTGATGTTATATCCAAGAAATCACTGTCAAGTCCAATGTCATGAAGCTTTCCCTTATGTTTTCTTCTAAAAGTTTCATAGTTTTAGGCCTTAAATTTAGGTCTTTGGCCTGGCTGGTGTGACTTAGTTGGTTGGGCATCGTCCCATGCACCTAGAGGTTGCTGGTTTGATTCCAGTCACGCATATGCCTGGGCTTTGGGCTTGATCCTTAGTAGGGGATCTGCAGGAGGCAGCTGATCAATGTTGTGCTCTCACATCAATGTTTCTCTCTTTTCCCTTCTCTGAAAAAAATCAGTAACACTATTAAAAAGAAATGTAGGTCTTGACCCATTTTGAGTTAATTTTTGTATATAGTATAAGATTTTACTATTATTTTTTGTTATTTTCATAGTGTTTGCCTGGGGATTATAATTAACATCTTAATTTATAACAATCTAGTTTGGATTATTACTAACTTGATTTCAATAAGAGTATATAAAAGCTTTTGATTAAATATTGCTCCATTCCTTCTCTCATACTTTGTGCCATTATTGTCATTTAAATGACATCTTTTTATTTTATTTATTTATTTATTTTAAAAAATATGTCTTTATTGATTTCTGAGAGAGGAAAGGAGAGGGAGAGAGAGAGATAGAAGCCGCCTCTTGCAGGCCCCGGACTGGGGACCAAGCCCCAACCCTGGCATGTGCCCTGACTGGGAATCGAACCCTGATCGCCTGGATCTCAGGTCGACGCTCAACAGCTGAGCCACGGCCGGCCGGGCCTTAAATGACATCTTTTTAGATTATATGCCCATCAACATAGATTTATAATTTTTGCTTTATTCAGTTGTCTTTTAAATTAAAAATTAAAAAATAATTACAAGTGAAAAATACATTTAGAGCATTATGCTAAGTGAAATAAGGCAGAGAAAGATAAATACCATATGATTTCACTTATGTGTGGAATCTAATGAACAAAATAAACTAACGAATTAGAAAAATAGAGAACAGACTGACAGCTGTCAGAGGGGAGGGGAGTTGGGGGGCTGGGTGAAAAGGGTGAAGAGATTAAACAAAAACAAACAAACAGACACAGACAACAGTATGGTGATTATTAGAGGGAAGTGGGGGTGGGGGAGATAGAAGAGGATATGGAAAGAAACTTGGGATGGTGAACTTCACGTAATACAATATAAAGATGACATATTATAGAAATGTACACCTGAAACCTATATAATTTTATTAATTAATGTCAG